CCAATGGGTTTGTTTGATTTTTTTAAACAATCACTCTGTTTATGAATGTCTGTGTAACAATGATCAGGTACTCAGGTGTACATGACAAACTTACATTTTTCTTGTAACTGGAAGAAAAATCCATGCTTTTTCACCCTGGTCTAAATTTTCCCTCGTCAAAATATCTCACTAAGTACATCCTCCCACTTGCTTCAGCAAATACGAAAGTGGTGGAGCAGCCTAGCATCTAGCAGTAACACTGCTATCAGAATACAATGTTCACAGGACTGGTATGAAGTAAGCTGTGTAGGTTGTAATTATTGAAGTGCCAGGCTGCCAGTTTTACAGAAGTAAACACATTTTATAAGTGATACAAAGTAAAGCTCCATTTGAAAGAACTAATAACTCATTTTCAAGTCAAGTCCTTGATCAGACAAGTTACTGATCAAAAGTATCTTTGCTTTTTCACTAGTGGACTACCACCTTATATTGCCAATTGTTGCCTTTTGAGTTTACTTGAAATAATAAAAGACCAGTTAAAAGAGCAAGGACTGAGAAGGTCAGTACCAACCTGAGAATTAGTTACTGCAGATTATCAGACCACAAGTCAAATCTACAAATTCTTTCCAGCACGAGTGATAATGAAAATTCCCTCAAGGCTTGCTCGGAACAGGACAGACATATCATTTCTCTAAGCAGCTAAAGAGAACATTTTTTTCTCAGTTGCACTGGCTGTTGCGTCTGGTTCTTGCACTTTTAATGAGATGGATTACCAGAGCTGGTTTTGGGTAGAAACTGTTTCTTGCATCTTAGAAAAGCTGGATGGATGGGATGGAGAAGGAGAATGGGACCTCATCTCCTTTAGCTGGCTACTAGGACTACTTGAATCTGTAAACTTATGTCTCCTTTGCAATATTAGAGCATTTTATATCAGACACCTTGTTCCTGTCTGTTTTCCCCTCTGGCACTCAGTATTATCTGTCCTAACGACTCAAGCTGAAATAAAATTCTAATTAATTCAGGGATAGGTGGGCAAGGTTTAATGTTCTACCATTACACAGCTATCACAGAATCATAGAATGGTTTGGATTGGAAGGGACATTTAAAGGTCACCTAGTTCAACCCCCCGGCAATAAGCAGAGACATCTTCAACTTGGTTATTTTGCCGAGAGCCCCATCCAACCTAACCTTGAATGTTTCCTGGAACTGGGCATTTATCCCCTCTCTCTGGGCAACCTGTGCCAGTGATTCACCACCCTCATTGTAAAAAACTTCTTCCATCTCTCAAGTCTGACTCTCCCCTCCCTTAGATTAAAACCAATGCAGCTTGTTCTAGACCTATAGACCCTATTAAATATATATGCATTTATATATCTATATGTGCAAACACACACGCACACACACACAAACACACACACACGTATATTAACAAACGGTCTCCTTTTGACTTAAACTTTTAAATTATATTTCAATATAACAGAGAAAGGCATTTTCTGCTATGAATATTTTATCTTTAACCTTCTAAACCGCACTAGAAACATGCTGATTAGAGACACCCACTATCCATTTTACCCCATTGCTAATGAAAACAAGCCCTGCATGGAAAGCTATTTTTACTGTTAAGATTTGCATAATATAGCTGTGCTCTGACTCAGATTTCTGCAGATGAAGCAACTTTTTTCTTCTTCATAAAATTTTCTAATTTGAGGTCTAAACATCAGGATAATTCAAAATAAGTTTTAAGATCTCAGCTCAATTATTCTTCTTAGTTAGCAGAAATTAATACAACTAATTTACAGAGCTGTAACTTTAGCCAGTTTATAGAAAGATGTTTATATCATGGGTTCTCATAAAATTCCCTTTGTTTTAATTAAATCTCCTTATTCTTAAATGCCCATGAGAGAAACTTCTAAGCAAGATAACGTATCTGTTATTCTCCTGTACATATTTAAATTAAAATATCAAACATAGATGCACACATATCTTAGAAGATAAGATCTCAATTTGCAGAGACAAAGAAATCAAATCCCTCTTTTATCTGCACAAGTATTCTCATGACAACACTCATGTTCTGTTCTCCCTAATTTTATTAAAAATGCGATAGCAAGGAAGAGGTTGATCAAATCTTAACTAATCTTAACAGAAATGGATATAGGAGAAAATTTATGCAAGAAAATTCTGTCAAAGGCTACTAAAATAAAAAATTGTATCTTTGGCTCAGGCAGTCCTGATCAAAAATAGCCGAAAGACTGTCAAGATATCAGAAAAATATGTGTAGATGGTTTCCCAATTCTGTGCTCCTCGCTAAAATTAGATGTCTGGACCAGCACAACACTGCCTTTTTTGGTTTTTTTTTTGTTTGATGATTTAAGAATTTCTACCCAAGCTCACAAAAGCAGAGGAAAAAAGCCATAGACAAAGTCCTCGGTTTTCATATTATCTACAGCCCTTCTTCTTCTATATAAAAAGATTTAGTTGCAGTTTCAGTGCAGCTCAGCAACATAGGCCACGATTTGATTCAACCTATTGCCAGCATTCAACATCTTGTCAGTGACTTCAGTAGAACTTGTGTATCATTGATCTGTTCATTAGAGAGAATATGTGGTTTCATCATTGTGCCATTTTGTAGAAATCGATAAAATTTAAGCCACCATCCAAATTCAAAATGTTTTGTATGAACATTACTTTGATCTGTTCAAACAACGTCATTATTAGCATTTGAGTTAGGCTTTACAGACTGTAAAGTATTACTTTAAAATATTTAACAAAAGCTGTGAAGCACCAGGAAAAAAAAATAGTAAAATGTCTTACTATTTAAAATTTCATAAATCGTTCTAACAGGAACGTAGCCTATGTACCCCTGTGTGGTTGCGAGCTATGCTGGCGAGGGTTCATGCCTTCGGTAGGGTCGCCCATGCCAGACAGGTCAAAACCATAGGACCAGATAAACTACATCCCTGGGCAGGATGAGCTCATTAGCCTTCTGGCAGTCATCCTAGGAGAAGGACAACTCTCATCCCAAACCCGGGCAGATGGAGCTCGCTTAGCCCTGGAAGGCCATCCATCTCAGAGAAGGTCACTCTAATCAAACCTACGTCCTGAGGACCTCGCTGCCACCGTCCAAGCTTGCTCGGCCCTGGCAGATGAACCTCAGGATTAAAGGGTGGGTTCAGTTCCGCGCATACTGCATCTCACCTAAAAAATCCATTGCGCAGGCTTGAAGGCTTTACCCACATGCAAAAAGTCCTGTAGCGACGGGCGAGGGTCGAAACGGTAGGTGAAAGATGCACTGGGAGCCGCAGACTCAACCCTGCATACAGGCGGTTCAGGATATTGGTCATTTGAGACTGACGGAGATGAGAGTCTCTTGGGGCAGCACCCTGAACGACCAAGCAGCCTTTTCAAGGACAGCACTGCTTGCTCCACTCGGAGAGGGGCCTAGAAAAGGTGGCCTAAACAAAGCTCATCTCCACCTTCACCCGGTTGGTTAACCGCAGACCGACGGGCATCTTCTTCCAATGCGGTCGCACAAAGAGCAAAAGTCAAAGGCATGCACCTGCCTCCAAAGGTGTACTCAAATTAACTCTAGCATGTTGGAACATCAGAACCATGCTCGATTCTGCCAATAGTGGTCGTCCTGAGCGACGTTCTGCCCTAATTGCCCATGAACTGGGTCGTCTCAACATCGACATTGCTGCTCTCAGTGAAGTTCGCCTTCATGAGGAAGGCAGCCTCAGAGAACGTGGTGCCGGTTACACACTCTTCTGGTCAGGTAAGCCCAGAACCGAAAAACATCTCTCAGGTGTCGGCTTCATGATCAAAAACTCCATTGTCCCTAAACTCGAAAATCTGCCGACAGGTCACTCTGACCGCATTATCTCCCTACGCCTTCCACTAAACAACAAGCAACACGTTGTCATCTTCAGTATATATGCCCCAACTCTCCAAGCTGACCCTGCTGAAAAAGATAAATTTTACACTGACCTGCGCTGTCTTACCCAAAAGGTGCCCGCAGATGATAAGATCATTATCCTTGGTGATTTCAACGCCAGAGTAGGTAAGAATTTTGAAGCCTGGAAAGGAGTATTAGGCAAGCATGGTGTTGGAAACTGCAACGATAATGGTCGACTTCTGCTAGAATTCTGTGCGGAGCAACAGTTCACCATCACCAATACTATCTTTCAGCAGAAAAATAGTCTGAAGACAACCTGGATGCACCCCAGGTCTAAGCATTGGCACCTCATTGATTATGTCTTGGTGCGACAGAGAGATGTCCGCGATGTCCTCCATACCCGCGTGATGCCCAGCGCAGAATGTCAAACAGACCATCGGCTTGTGCGCTGTAAACTCAACCTTTATCTCAAATTCAAACCCAAGAGGGGCAGTATCCCAAGGAGAAGACTCCAAGTTAACGATCTCCAATCAGCCACAGTAAGAGAAAGATTCCAGGCAAACCTTCAAACTAAGCTTGATATCCATTCCACAGATTCTGCAGTTTCCTCTCCCGAAACAATTTGGCAGCATATTAAAAGTAGCATCCTGCAATCCTCTGAAGAATCCTTAGGGTTCTCCCTCAAGAAGAACAAGGACTGGTTTGATGAAAATAATCAAGAAATCCAGGAATTGTTGAGGAAGAAGAGAACCGCCCACCAAGCACATCTTGCACTGCCTTCCTGTCACGCTAGAAAAACAGCCTTTCGTCTTGCTTGCAGCAAGCTCCAACAGAAACTCCGTGACATCCAGAACAAATGGTGGACCGATCTAGCTGCAAAAACTCAACTATGTGCAGATACAGGGGATCACAAAGGATTCTATGAGGCCCTGAAAACAGCATACGGGCCTACATACCAAGTCCAAAGCCCACTACTCAGTGCAGATGGTCAAACGCTTCTGACAGATCAAACCTCCATTCTGAATAGATGGTCTGAACACTTTCAGACTCTTTTCAGTACCAACCGTGTAGTACAAGACTCAGCAATTCAGTCCATCACAAAACAACCAGTGAAATACGAATTGGATACTGCCCCCACTCTAGGAGAAACCCTCAAGGCCATACAGCAGGTGAAAATCGGCAAGGCAGCTGGGGTTGATGGAATTCCACCTGAAGTCTGGAAACATGGGGGCCTTGCACTCCATGCTAAATTTCATGAGCTTGTGGTGCGCTGTTGGGAACTAGGCGAACTACCTTCAGACCTTCGTGATGCAGTCATCATCACCTTGTATAAGAAGAAAGGTACTAAATCAGACTGTTCAAATTACCGTGGTATTACTCTGCTCTCCATTGCTGGCAAAATCTTGGCAAGAATACTCCTGAACAGACTAATACCCGCTATAGCAGAAGAAATTCTACCTGAAAGTCAGTGTGGCTTCAGAGCCAACAGGAGCACCACAGACATGATATTTGTTCTCAGACAACTGCAAGAGAAGTGTAGGGAACAGAACAAAGGTCTCTATGTAACCTTTGTCGACCTCACCAAGGCTTTCGATACTGTGAGCAGAAAAGGTCTTTGGCAGATTTTGGAACGTTTAGGTTGTCCCCCCAAGTTCCTTAAAATGATCATCTCACTTCATGTGGATCAGCACGGCCAAGTCAGATATGGCAACACACTTTCTGAGCCCTTTCTAATAAAGAATGGTGTGAAACAAGGCTGCGTTCTCGCTCCTACCCTATTCACAGTCTTTTTCAGTATGATGCTTCAAAGGGCCTCGGCAGACCTCGACGATCAGGACGGTATCTACATTCGATATCATACTGATGGAAGCCTATTCAACCTAAGGCGACTGAAGGCCCATACTAAAACCCTAAACCATCTTGTCCGGGAGCTGCTCTATGCTGATGACGCCGCCCTTGTTGCCCACACAGAAGCAGCTCTGCAGCGTTTAACATCCTGCTTTGCAGAGGCTGCTGAGCTCTTTGGGCTGGAAGTCAGCTTAAAGAAGACAGAAGTTCTCCATCAGCCTGCACCTCAGGAAGTCCCCCACCGTCCCCACATCACCATCGGCCAGTCAGAACTCAATTCAGTCCAACAGTTTAATTACCTAGGCAGCCTCATCTCCTCAGATGGTAAGATTGATGGGGAGATAGACAATAGGTTAGCGAAGGCATACAGTGCTTTTGGAAAACTCCATAAACGAGTTTGGCGTAATAAACACTTGAAGAAAAGCACCAAGATCAGTGTTTACAGAGCCATAGTGCTGTCTACTCTTTTATATGGTTCCGAATCATGGGTCATCTACCGCCACCACCTGCGTCTCCTAGAACGCTTCCATCAACGCTGCCTCCGTACAATCCTTAACATCCATTGGTCAGACTATGTGACCAATACATCTGTTCTCGAACAGGCAGCAATCACGAGTATTGAGGCCATGCTCCTGAGAACGCAACTGCGTTGGGCAGGGCACATCTCTAGGATGAAGGACCACCGCCTCCCTAAGATCCTGCTCTATGGTGAACTTGCCACTGGCTGCCGCAAGAGAGGAGCTCCAAAGAAAAGATACAAGGACTCCCTGAAGCAACAACTCAGCCTCGGGCATATTGATCACCATAACTGGTCCACTCTGGCCTCTAATCGGGAGGCCTGGAGACAGACCATTTATAATGCTGCTGATGCTTTTGAGAAGGCACGCAGGATCACTCTTGAGGAGAAAAGACAACGCAGAAAGAATCGAACCTTGCAGAATATACCATCTAAGGAGTCTTTCTGCTGTGTCTTTTGCAACCGGACTTGCCTTTCTCGTATTGGCCTTTTTAGCCACCAACGCGCTTGCATGAAAAATGGGTAGAGCCCTTCCCAAATCTTCGTTCGCGAAGCCTAGCCATGATGATGATAAAATTTCATATGTTCTTTGACAAAATGCCACAGATAGTTTTATCAATAGTTCAAATTTAAGTAAATATTAATCTTTTAGCACAACTTTTATCTTTAAAATAGTAAATCCCAGAGTATCTAAACAGCAGCAGTATTAAATCAGAACACAAAGAGCAATAATAAGCCGGAACCAAACAAACTGCATGGTCCCATCTCAGAGTTTGTATCTTTCTCTTCCGCTTTGAAATAAGGTTTTCAGTGCTGAAAATGTGATGTCTTCATTACACTTTTTAGAACAGTTAGAGGGATTTGGAGCGTTGTCCAATATGCCTACAAATGTTCACTGCAGGCATGCCAACTGAAGGCACCTCAAGACATAGTATAGTATTATTTTAAACATGTATTCTTTAAAGTGACTTTTCTTCAGATAGTAAATTGACAGATAGCTAAATAATCTGAAACAGTAGTGCCATGCTATCAGAAAAGTACAACCTGTTGGACTGTTGCACTAAAATAACTAGAAGATAATGTTTTCATCAAGTGTCTGGAAAGAAAGAGGGATAAAACCTCATCCAATGGACTAACATTTAGCTACTATCTGCACTAATTATTAGAACAAGAATATTTAATATTAACTCTTCCCCGTAGATGGAAATTGTATAATTTTTAACAATTACACTACATATTTAATAGCTATTATCTTTACCAAATAAACAATTCCTCTGGAAGCACTATTTTGCAGAGCCACATGAAATAAGAAAACATCTACTCAAGTGCACAATTTCTGCAAAAAGACTGAATTAAGCAAAGATGCATCTGCAGCAAAGGCAGAACAATCACCTTGGAAGTTGTCCTTTATCCAGTGGTCAAGATACAACAAGCAGCCTAGCTTTAAGGGGGCTGTACACAGGACATGAGAGTAGCTTTAATAGTTTTCAAAAGCTGAAAACTATTAAAAAAGGAGTAATGCTTTTTCCCCACTTATTTTCTCTAAGATAAATTATGAAAATACATGGTAACTACAACCTATGTGTTGATCACATGGAAGTCAGTTGTGAATACACATGAAAAAACAGAACAGGAATATTACGCTTAAAATTAACAAGTAATTTGTACTTTATTATTTTTTATGTTAAATTTTAAGCAAGCATATATTGCCTGAGAGCAACAACATGTCCATTGTTTTTGACCATGGCTACCAAAAAGTACATCAGAAGATGAACTCTGACATGCTCAATCTTATTTTTGAAGGAGGTCTTTTATTATCATTACCTTTAGCAAAATTACTCTAACTCATAATCTAACTCAGGGTTCACTGAAATTACCTGAAGCCACAGAATCAGAAATCAGGCAACTTACTTTTTTACTTAAAAAAAGTATTAAGTATTGCAAAAATTCTTATTACTACCTTTATATACTTCATTTCAATTCAACACTTTGATATTTCTTGCAATAAAGCTATTCTGGTACAATACTTGTCCAATTCAGTTCTACACAAGAAAGTACATGGTTATATGCAGTTTTATAAATCAGTCCACATGTTATGACTTCTAGGTCTATTCTAAAAGAGGATAGTACTCCTTTTAAATAACCACGATCACTTCTAAAATGTAATTGGTTTTGACTTTTTCGGTATTACGGCACAGGATAGTTGAAACCTATGAAGCCTTTTTATTTTTTGTTTGTTTGTTTGTTTGGGTTTTTAGTATTTGGCTACCTTAGATGACTACACCAAGAATGAGTATGACTACATCAAGAATAAGTGAAAGCAAAAAATTTATACAATTATACTATAAAAACTCGGGAAAACTATCAACATACCCAAAGTGTTCTAGAAATATTTGAGTTCCCTGTGAATTAAAAATCCCTCCCCCAGTTTGAGAGATTAAGGAAAATTATTAATTTAGGAGTTTTGGCCATGTATCATCAGGTATTGAGATAAGTTATGTTTTATAGTATGATGGGCTTCTGAGCCTTCTGTCATAGTTGCCTACCCGAAAAAGAGGCTCCTCAAGATTGTCTACTTCTTTTTTCTATGCCAATCAAAGTTCAGTAAGAATCTAAACAGTTTTACAACCAACTACTACTACATCAAGCTGAACATTAAACAGATGGAACATAGTTCTAATAAAAATGTTTACCTGCTCGTCATTGAAGGATTCCTGTTGAACACAATCATGATGCCTGTTTGCTGTAACTGATAACGAGAATTAAGAGTCTCTTCTTCAGTAACACAGTTTTTGATAAAAGCACAAACAAAGTTCAAAGGGGTACAAGGGTAATTTTGCTCTGTATGATATCAATGACTATGAGCTTGGTTAATAAATGAATTAGTAATGTCTGTACTGAAAATTGCAACATGCGAATGACTTTAAAGAGTTTGTATATTATAAATAGCTCTTTAAATCCAATTTGAATTGTTTTACTCTGTACAACAGAAGACAGATTTGTAATTTTGCTGACCAAGAAATAGCCATTTTTAAATTGCTAAAATAGATCTGAGTCTGAAAGAATTTCAAGTTGTACTGCAGCTTTCCATAATACAATATGTTTTTATTGTCCTCTCTTAACCAGGACATTTCTTAGCATGTTCAGAAGACAACTCCAAACTCAAAAAAAAAATCAGTAAACAAATAATTTTCATTTGGAAACTGACAAATAAAAAAACAAGTATTTATATGTTGTTTTTCTACATAGAAGTAATTTCGAATCATTATATGGTTATTATTACTTCAAACATGTTGACACAATTCCTGAAGCCAGACCTTAAATGATCACCATTTTTTATGGTCGTAAGCTAAAACTGTGTTTTTCCTTTATTCTATTATTTTCAAGATCTGAAAACATTTTTACTGTGTTATACAAATGAATAGCTACAACTGCTTTAGACAGTAGAGCAGCAGCCTGATTTAGATTAACAGGGAAAGATATGCTAGTGGGTAAACAGGGCCTAACTGGAACAGACGTTTTGAACATGAGGGGAAAAAACAATCCTCCATGGATTAACTTGATAGTATTTAAATCAGACTAGAGCTTCCTTTCCATGGAGTGAGAGTACAGACAAAGAACTATGGACAAAAGCCAAAATACCCCTTAGTAAAACCCATTATAAAAATATACTTTACTGGAATGGACCTTTCAGAGATTTCAGATCTATGAAGCCGGGAAGGCTTGTGTATGTCAGGTAGATTAAGCCAAAACTGTACCACAATATGTGTCTGGCATCAGTACCAGTGTTCTACAGAGCTCTCCTCAATTACTAAAATGTCACTAAGGAAAGTTATCACTCAGATCTGCTTAATGCAATAATACATATCTACAAACAAATTACTGAGCAGTGACAAGGCACTACAGAAATTCTTTTAAGTGTTGACATTTTTTTGATAAAGTCAATCAGCATAGGTTTCCAAGTGTCTAAGTGGCTGTGCCAGTATAATCCATGACTTCATTTTGCATAATCCTTCATCTCAGTCCCCTTTTAGAGATGCTAACCCATAAACCGCATGCAAGGTTTAACATACATCAAAAAAACAGATCACTAGCTTTACTCTCATAAAGAATGTCAATCTGTATAAATGACAAAGAAAAAACTGCTGATGGCATACATAATGTAGCAGCAGTGTTGTAGCATGACACATTCTAAACATACCTGAAGGACCAGTTACAGAGAAAGCACACTCAAAAGGCTTCTGCGTCTGACCACATACCTGTTTTCCATCTCCTTGTGCCCTCCCTCATCAATCCAAGCATTCCTTCTCTCAACAAAACTCATCTTCCTCACAGATAAGCACTTATACATGAAATTCAAGTGGTTAATTTGCAAAAGCCTTCTCTTCCACACACAAGCCTGAGCACCGCCGTTTTCAGCACAGCTCACACGTTTGTGCAGAAGCCAACTACACTGAAATGTAGGCCTTGAACTATAACTAATTCTTTCCTCAACCCTCTTATCTTGCACCTTCTTGTTTCTCTATTTTATTATACCAGAGGGAAATAAGAATAATTTCACATGAATAAATAATGTCTGGTTTTCTCTATCAGCTTTAGTGGCATTATTAATATTGCTTTATTTTTTTTTGCTACAAATACATTTTGATACAGTCATAGACTGTTTCGATACAGTTTAACAAATTAAACATAATCCAGGCAAAAAATGGACTCTTTTTATTCATCTACTCATATAAGAACATTTGAATCCTATATATGCTTTTTCTGTCAATTTTTAATATTTTGCTACATTATTATGTGGAGGAACTCAAGCAACAGCAACTCAATCACATGATGTTGTACCACATGATGCCATCTGTTGAATGGCAGTGGCTCTCACCATTACACAATATTCTTAGATGGTTGATTCTCACATGGAGTGGAATTCATTCTGGTCCCATCCAAACTTTAATAGGGACTTTAACCTTCCAAACAGCATCGACTGCTGTAAGCAAGATACAGCCTGCTGGATATCCTCATAATTTAGACATATAATGTTGTGAAGTAACTTTCGGGAAGTGAAGATCCCAAGGCTATTTCTCATTGAAAGAGAGTACACTGACAATTAATACAGAAAGCAGAATGAAGAACACTCGAAATCCTCCTCAGGAAGCATGTGGATTATACATGGGATCCCAGTAGAACAGCAAAAGGCCTAAACTGTCTTTTCTCAGTAGAAATCAGTGATGTTATTAACTAATAATACAGAAATTGTATTCAAAAAGGGATGATTTTCCCCATTCCAGCTAGTACAACGTTCTATGATTCTTATAATATTTATTGTAAGAGAAAACTGATCCAAAAATTATCTTTTATCTCTAGCTATAATAACATGACATTTCTGCTTCACTGTCACACAGTGCCAACACATCAAACTGCTGGTGGCAGTTTGCTTCAAACCTATGCTCTCCACAGTGGTCAATTACCAACTTCGTTGAGACTAGAGATGAACCCTATTCATTACATATTTAGGCAATATACACTTTGTACAAAATACACCATCTGTTCACATGCTGCAGACTCGTGGAAGAGTGGCTGGAAAGCTGTGAGATGGAAAAGGATAGGGGGTTGCTGGTCAACAGCAGCTGAACATGAGCCAGCAGTGTGCCCAGGTGACCAGCGGCGAACAGCATCCTGGACTGTATCAGAAATAGTATGGCCAGCAGGACTAGGGCAGTGATTGTCCCCCTGAACTGGTGATGCCGCACCTTGAATCCTGCATTTAGTTTTGGGTCCCTCATGACAATAAAGACACTGAGGTGTTGGAGCATGTCCAGAGAAGGGCAACGAAGCTGGTGAAAGGTCTGGAGAACAACTCTTATGAGGAGTGGCTGAGGAAGTTGGGATTGTTTAGCCTGGAGAAAAGGAAGCTCAGGCAACACTGCATCACTCTCTACAATACCTGAAAGGAGGCTGTAACAAGGTGGAGGTCAGTCTCTTCTGCCAGGTAACAACTGATATGACAAGAAGAAGTGGCCTCAACTTGTGTTAGGGGAGGTTTAGATGGGATATTAAGAAAACTTTCTTCACTGAAATGATGGCCACTTGTTGGAACAGGGAAGTGTTGGAGTCACCTGCACAGGGAAGTGATGGAGTCACCATCCCCAGAACTGTTCCGAAAACATGTGGATGTGGCACTTCAGGATATGGTTTATTGGTACGCATGGTGGTGCTAGATTAATGGTTGGACTCGACGATCTCAGAAGGGTTTTCCAGCCTTAATGATTCTATGATATTCTGTGATGTTTTGACCCTGCCATGTCATCTTTCATGAAAACATATCATTCACTCATTCACAAAATATTTTCTTCATGGACAAGTACCAGGCTAGGTCTCCATTTTTTATTTAGCAGCCAGTAAAACATTATTTCTAGCCCCTCCAAAAGGACCTTAGGACTTCAACATTGAAGTGGGAAGTGTTAAATACTAGAGCCAGAATAATGAACCTGTGAATTTGGTAAAACTCCTGGGATAGAGCTGACACTGAATGGTGCCTCTAGAGAGCAAATTGCTTTAGATCAGGGTAGTGTACATTGAAAGGAACATCTATCATAGTGGACATTTAATAAATTGTATCACAGATGTAAGGGCCTTATAAATATCTTGACAATTTTTGTCTAATGAAACGCAAAAATAACTGAATATGGTGTTAAAGGTTATGTAAATTTTTAAGGTATAGAGGTTCACAGTAGGGGCTTTTTTTTTCCAGATCAACCACTATTTAGAGTAGTCATTTCAATAGTCTGCACTATTATATATATATAAGGCAGACCTGATAACATGTGTTTTCCTTCCAGGTTTGCTGGAAAACACTGAAGAGACTGGAAACTCACTGGAAATGTGGGTACTGGGACTGTGAGGGGAACATTGCCTTTAATAACTTCCGGCCCTGGTATTCTAGGAATTCAACATGACTAAGAGGAGCACTTGAACACTGAAGATTTCCTAAAAATCTGCAAAAATACTGCTGTAGTTTTTCTGGAAGAGCATACATATTTTTGCTAGTGGGAATGATGTTTTCTTAAGTTAAAAAAAATAGTTTATGTAGAGCAGAGGTCACATCAGCATCAGACATCTGACAGAAGGGATAAACATTCATTCCCATGCAAGGCTCCCTAGAACCAACAGTGAGGCTAGGAGCTCCTTGAGGCAAAGACAAACTCTCTTTTGTGCTGTTTACAGCACTGAACATGCTGAGGTCATCATAAAGCAATAAACCAGATCATTTCCTACACAAAAACTCATAGAGCCACATGCAGTATCACAGACTTGAAGGACATTCTAGTGCTACAGCATTATCTGCTTTGAAACCTATACTGGAAGAAAAAAAAATAGATAAATATGAAAATGTCACATATTTTGACATCAAGCTATAACCAAAATCTTCATGACACAATGATTGAGAGAGAAGGTGCAGCATTTTCAGACACTTCACATTTGATAGCTTAAATAATTATAAAATTCCTACACAAATGAACAAAATATAATGGATAAGAGCTTAAAATTTTCCTTCAGTGAGGTATATTTTCTCTTACTTGTCTGTAAATGAGATAAACACAGCTGTCTTTTCACTACCTTTTTTGTGTTTTTGACTGTGGTGCTTATCTCATTCCAAGATTGGTATACACAGATAAACAGCTCAGAAGCTTCTGTCCCCTTCTTTTTTTATTAATTTTCAATTAAGTAATGCACTAGAGGTCATCTGCAGAAAGAAGACATGTGAATGTTATCATATATTTTAGGCTTATAGAAGATTTCTGTAACATAAATTCTTAAAAACCTTCAAAGCTCCCATTATTCAAACAGTTAGTGGAGTCTCAGATATGATTTTCTTAGACCATTTGAAGGTAGGACATAAAATAAATCAAAGAAAGGTTCTTTCCTGAAAAATGAATAAAGAGAACACATGAGATATACAGAAATAGTTTTTGTTTAAGAAGGAAATGTTGACTCAAGAAGATATAGATACATGACACATTCATCAGTTTCCCTTAGAATGGTTGGCAGTGATGTGTCACCAGCTTATCCTATAAAACCCCTAGGATGCATACAATATGCTTCTACCACCTTAAAACAAACCTTGTATTTTTCTGACAATACTCATAGCATGGTAAGTCTTTTTAAAGAGCTGTGTATTCTTCATGCCATCAAACTTGGCCGCAATGTTATCGAACCATAAACAAAGCAAAGCAAAAATACCTGTGTTCCTCACAGTAATGGTCAGGTTTGGATATTTACAGTGATACTGGGAACAAAAACATTTTTTGGGGGGGGAGGTGGGTCATGGAATAGTAAAATCACTAACAAAAAGTTTCTCTTGAAGTTAAACAGCAAATAACCAACTCACTGGATAGTCCTGAAGAACTTTTTCAAGCATCTCTTTCCTCAAATATTTCCTGTTCTATCTCTTCTTTTTCCTCTCCCCACCAGTACTACCATTGGTTCCCACTTAACCGGGACTTCCTCCACAGCAGGCAGAATTAAAGCAAAGTTCAAGGTTTTCCTAGGTCTAGCTAGGATGAGTAAGCTTTATTCAGTACAGAACGAGACAAAAATCACAGCTCAGAATAGTCAGATTTTTTATTTTCACTCTTGAGAAGACTGCTTTCAGCAAGCTAGAGGGTTTAAAAGCATTCATTACCCCCAAGCTGTGCCACACAGTGCATCACGCGAGTGCCATCCTCCCACCTTCTGCTTCCAGCCCACACGACTTAGAGCCATCGCTGCGGGATGCATCAGCACTTAGGTAATCCTAAAGTTCTAATTTAACTGTCTTAATGCTTAGACATAAGTCAGTTTAAGTCAAATCCTTCCTTTCCAGGATTTTCTGCCATGCTGACTCTCTGTTTCTTTACATGAAGAATTGCATTTTTAACCCCATCCAATATCTTGGCTTCAGCTTATCTCTGACACTCACCTCTCTTCTGAGCCAACTCAGGAGTGCTGTGCGCAGCACGGTCAGAGGCAAAACATCACAGTAAGCATCCACACTGGTCACTAAGGAACAATATTAACAGAAGCAAATCTCCCATTTTCCTATGCAGTGGTACTTCATTTCTTTTGGATATAGCATTTTTAGCAACACAGAATATTCCACAATCACAAAGAGATAATATGCTAAACTTATGATAGACATTGAAGAAAACAAGAAAGACAACATCTCTTTCTTGGTGGCATCTTCATGTATTGATGAGAAATAACATAAAATTGGTTCAATGAAACTTTATGAAGTTGAAGGTATTGTTAACCCTACTCCTTCCAAAATGCTTCCAAAAGCATTTCTTCTAGCCTCTTTGTTGTTTTATCCCCCTCATTTTTCTGTTAGAGGGTAAGAACAGGTCTCAAACTTTCCAGTACATTATTTTTTACTGTGGTTATATACTTCGATTTTTCCTTTCTTGTCCTCAGCTAAACACTGACACTCTAATTATCAATATCGATAGATTACATCCAAATGCGAAAATGGAAGTACATTTTCCAGATTTTCAAAATGAGCTGAGGAGCCTGTGAATCAGCATCCAAATCTCTGATGAACAGCCTGCTGCAGATTCCTGATGCTTTAAAACATGATGTCAGATTTCCCCATTGCAAAGCAGCAGATGAGTAAGTGAGAAGTCATTTACAGTTCTGTGAGATCTGTATCAGATACCCCAGATTAGTCCTATGTATTTCTCTAGGCATGGTGAGATCAGATCAGCAGAGAAGAGTTTCACCTTTCCAAGTACAAAATAAGTCCTGGTTCTTCCCCTTAGCAGACTCCTACTTCACTGTCAGAAGTTTTTTACATGGTGAGCTTTTCCTCCTGATTTCAAAGCAGTGATGAGCAAATGTTACTTATCTTCTTAAATGCTGATGGAACTGACACATAGATGGATACTAAGAAGCTCATCCAAGCTCATGTTTGCTAAGAATCACATCAAAGTGTGTCAAGGAAAAAATATGTCACCTCCAGCAAGTAATAAGCAACACAGTCCCTCAACTGAGTATGATCTATGAGTACTCTATCAATGACAAATACAGAGTGGTCTTTTAAGTAGCAAAAATACATCTAGCTGGTTTACCTATTTTGACTTGGAAGGGCAGAAAAGAATGGAAGGCAGAAACAAGTTAGTCCTCCACAGCAGACAATTGCTTGTCTACTGTAACAGACATAAGAAGATTCCGTTACAATTTAATGGCTCACATCAGTAAGTCTCTGTTCACCTGCCAGTGAATAGGAACACAATTTTGCAAGCCTTTCAGATCAAGATTTTTTTCTTCAGTTTGTGAGCTTAAATAATTGGTCTCAGCTTGCAGAACTGAGATTAGTTTCATAAAGATGTATTTCAGTTACTATCTGTAATTGCAGCACTTCAATGTATGAGGTAGTGCAGCAATGTAATTTTCTACTTTGAGAAGAAATAGAGTAGGAAATTAGTTTACTAGGCACCTTTCCTCACCAATAACTAAGCAGCAGTGATTACACCAGGAACACTGTCTCCAAGTGCAGGGTCAAAGTTTTACCTCATAAAGTATCTTATAATAGAAGAAAAATAATTTTATTTTTTGAACAGTGAAGATTTATAAAATTCTTCTTTTACTTTACGTTCCAAAATTATCCAATTTGTGACAAAAATAAATATTTTTCTACGCTGTAACTTTGCTAGAAATGTCTTAGTAAATAACTATGCTTAATGTAGTGTACAGATGAAATACAGTATCAGCAATATCTTTATGGTAAGATGAAAAGTTCTGTAGCCATTATGGGTTTCCAGCATATAATCATAAGAAAAATTACATTCAGGATTTTCTGAGAATGGCTAAAAATGCTAACAAAAACCTCTTTACATTGATAGGTATTATTTATTAACATGACACTTCAGTAATGAACAGGTGAATAATGCACATCTTTAAATGTTTTTTTCTCCACTGGGGTATTAAAACGTAGATGACAGAAAAGGGTTCCTAAGAGTCTGAATATTGCTTTTAAATAATATGCAGCTCTTTTGAGGTCTGAGTTAAAACCACAAAATGTCACTCAGAAACTTCACAAATAAAACAGATAGGGTTATTACTCTTACAAAGGCTAATGTACTTAAATACAAACATTATCAGCAGATAATAGACCAACAACACAACGCTCAATACAAAACATATTTAATAGAAAAGGAAAGCATCACCATGATGAGCACTTAAGCTACAAAGAATTCTCCTGCTGCTCACCGCTCAATACATCACTTAAAGGCCTGATTCTGTTACTTGAGCATACCAAGGAAAATCTCATGCCTACTGAAGCTAAGTTCAAATGACTTCACTGGGACTAGAGCACATACACCAATTCATATTTTCAGTCACCAGATCAATCATTCTTTAATTTCAATATTTACATCTTTTGCATCCAAGACTAATGCCTTAAAACTATTAAAAATCATATAATTGTCTTGAAACAATTACACCTTTTTTTAATAGCCTCACTTAAGCTTCTAAATATAATCTTTTAAGCTTTTCGATAAAAACATAAAAGATGACACTATTACATGTAAGTTCAAGATATTATGTAATAATGTGGGTTTTGAAAGAAATAGCCTTTTAAAACTCACCATATTGCAGTTACAATAACTGCAAACAGAATGGCACATCAGTATGATGTGATATCAATTATTACACATTGGTATGTCCTAAAGACTGTAAATGAAGTTAGGAGGGATCATCAGCTCCACAAATTTCAAAGCAAACAAACACACATAGAAATGAAAAATCACAAGGCAGATCCCTTTATCGTTTTGGAAAACAGAAAAAAGCAAAATAAAACCCCAAAAACACCCCCCCCCAAAAAAACCCCACCAAAACAAAACAAAAAACCCCAAACAAAAATAAACAAAAAATCACAAAACAAAAAAATACACCCCAAAAAAACACACAAAAAACCCAACCAACCAAACAAAGAGTTTTTCCATGTACCACAAGATTTAAAAGAAAATATTGCCTTATTCCATTTATGTCTTATGATATCATAAATATCCAACATTCAGAAAATTTCTGTTGGCCACTAATGTAAATATCAATATCTTTGCTTCCCTTGCAGAAACTATCATAAATGCATTTGCTGATAAGCAGTCACTTTGCTCTGTAGATCTCAAAATTTTTCTTAACCCTTAACATGTCCGTCATCAGTTCTAAGATCAGCTTCGTCAGCTGGTCTCAGGTGTCT